TAATTTCGAAGTTGTGAAAGACTTTGTTTATTTAGGAACCAGCTTAAACACCAAAAATGACGTCTAGAGATTTAACGAAGAATCACTTTTGCCAACAAATGTTACTTCGGGTTAAGTAAGCAATTGAGAAATAAAGCCCTCTCTCGACAAACAAAAATCACGTTCTACAAATCTCTTATCATGCCTGTCCTGCTGTATGGTGCAGAAGCTTGGACAATTACCAACAGTGATGAGAAGGCGTTAGGAGCATTCGAGAGAAAAATTCTTCGGAAGATCTATAGTCCCTTACGCGTTGGCGACGAGTATCGAATTAGATGGAACGATGAGCTGTATGAGCTATACTGCCACATTGACATAGTTAAGCGCATAAAAATTCAGCGGCTACGCTGGCTTGGTCATGTCGTGCGAATGGGAGAAAGTACTCATACTGTAAAGGTATTTGATTCGGTACCCGCAGGTGGAAATGCGGTAGAGGACGTCTGCATCTTCGGTGGAAGACCGAAGATGCAACGATTTGGGGGTACTCGGTATTACCAACTGGCGTCAGAAAGCAACTAATCGGGCTGACTGGCGGAGGCTACTCGACGGGGCCAAGAGCGACCCATGCCTGTAATGCCCAACTAAGTAAGTAAGTAAGTAATATTTTATGTATAATTTAATATACATTTATTTAAGAAATAAAAAGTAAAGATTTTTGTATAGTTTTTCTTCGAAAATTGATTTAATGGTATTATGGTGCGTAAAAGCAACGGAAAGGACACCTGATAAATTAATTTTTTTTAATTACTTTTAAAAGAAATATCACACTGGAAATATTTATTTTTTAAGTAGAATTTATGTATTAATTTGAATCAAAATTTGTGTGACATATTCCTTTTTTTTTTAATGAAAAATCGTGTGTATGTGTTTGGTGTGATATGAAGGATAAATAAATTTTTAAAAGTACTTTTAAAGACAATATCGTCCAGAAATTTTTGCGATTTATGTAAAATTTTATACCAATCGAAATCAAAAATATTATATAAAAATATTTTTAGTATATTCTTTGAAAATTGATTCAATGGAAATGTAGTACACATGTGCTTGATATGTTTTGTGGGAGAAAAAAAATATTAAAAAATTTCAAAAAATAACGGTATCTCTAAAATTTTTGTTTCGTAGTAAAATATAAAACTAAATCTAAATAAAATATAAAAAATGAAAATTTACAAAATAATTTTGAGAAAATTTTTTTTTGTCATTTAACGGTTAATATTAGTACTTAAATATAAACTACTTTAAATGTTTAAACAATTTCATAATAGTTAATTATCTTTAAAATGCTGCAAATTTCAAGTTTCTACCTTTTATAGAACTTGAGATATAGCCATTTGAAAATGTGTCTACAATGCCATTTCTCTTTTTTTTTTTTTTTGCAGTAGGTGGAAAGCATCGAAAGCCGCAGTGTGAGACTTGAACCCACTAAAACCACCTCTTAGGAATGAATGGAGAAGATTCCCACAGCAATGTGGGAACTTCATTCCAGTAATCAGGGGAGAGAGAAAGTAGATAGACTTAATACCTAGGTGAACTAGGTTCATCTAAGTCAGAAAGCAAGGGCATGAATTAAGAAGAAAGGATGATAATGAAGGTAGTGGGGTTACGGCTAGTTAGCGGGGGTGAGGCTAGTGATAAACTTTGTGACCAGGGTCACGAAAGCCGCGGTTAAAGAGAGGAATAGCGAGAGGATTTTGGCCCAGCTCGTCAAAATAGTGGAGAAGGTACTGTGGAGGTTTAAAACGTAAAGCTAGAACAAGGTCTACTGGGAGGGTATCTGGACAAGAGACATCAGGAGGAAGGTCGTGGAGCCGGGTGAGATACCTACGGGCAAGTGTCAAAAGGTACTCATCAATACGAGTAATCTTGGCATTGTGGTACAGAGTGGAGATAGGAAAGTGCTTGCCGTTGGGCTTGCGTTTATAGTTGGTGCAATCACGGAGAAGTTTCCGCTCAAACAGGCGGATTCTTTCCATCTGAGCAGAGGTGATGGCAGACCAAATAGGAAAGGCATAAGTGAGGAGAGGACGAATAAGCTGCTTATAGCAGAGTAGCTTAACTTTACAGTTAAGCTGGTTGTGTCTTCGAAGTGCAGTTTTGAGTTGAGTGTGCCTGAACCGGGCGTTACGGATGGCATAGTCAACATGTGATATAAAATTGTGTTGAGATGAGAAGACAATACCAAGATATTTCAGCTTGGGGACAAGCTGAATTGGAGAATTGTTGAGCCTGAGCTGAATATTAGAGGTGCTAAAACCTCTAGGACGATCACGCTGCTGGCCAAGAAAGGCAATGGCAGAGATCTTAGAGGGATTGAGTTTAATCTTCCACTTGGTGTAATAGTCGAAGAGGGCTCCAAGGTGGGTATTAAGCTCATTGGAAAGGCGGTGAGGATTAGATGACCGCATGAAGACAAGGCAGTCATCGGCGAAGCAGATTTGCTTAACAGGGGCCCGCGGAAAAGGAATGTCTGCTATAAACAGGTTAAAAAGAAGGGGTCCAAGAACCGAGCCCTGAGGGACACCGGCGTCGATGGGGAAATCTCGAGACAGAGAGGAACCGACTCGAACCTGAAAGGTTCTGCTGGACAGAAAATTGTGGACCACACTACAGAGCGCAGGGGAGAAGCCGAACTGGTGAAGCTTTAAAATTAAACCTTCAAACCAGACAGTATCAAAGGCTTTTTCAATGTCAAGACTTAATGCCACAGTGGGCTGCTTATTGAAAAAGCCTATGCATATCTCATTTT